GTGAAAGAAAGAGTGAGAGATTTTTTAATCTATTGCAATGGTCGGGCCTCAAACCAGGAGCCAGGAACTGTGTTTCTCACATGGCTGTAGGGGCCGAGTACTTGGACCATCTTTTTCTGTTCTCCAGGCTATTATCAGGGTTTGGTTTGGGAACTGGATCACTCAGCATTCAAACCAGTGCACATCTGGGATGCTGGAATAATTTCAATATATTAACTTGCTATGTCACAAAGTGGTCTTATGGTCTGGATTGAGTGAAAAACTAATCAGCTATGCTTGTTTCTGTGTTTGCATGGAGCAATGAGATCAAATAGAAATCAGAAGCTTATTAACATGGTCTATATCCAGTTGTTTGCTTACAGGATAAAATCTCTAGTCTATAAAGAATAGATCAGGGCCCAGCATGACAACCTTGCAGTTAAAATCCTCACCTTGCACACACTGGAATCCCATGTGGGTGCCGCTTCTTGTTCCAGCAGCCCCACTTCCCATCCAGCTCTCTGCTTGTGGCCTGGGAAAGCAGTGGAGGACAGACCAAGGCCTTCGGACCCTGTACCCATGTAGGAGACCTCAAGGAGGCTCCCGGGCTCCTGGCTTTGGATTGGAGCAGCCATTGTGGCCATTTGGGGAGTGAATCAGATCAACAGATGGAAGATCTTCTTCTCTGTCTCTCCTCCTCTCTGTATATTTGACTTTCCAATAAAAAAAAAAGGGCTTTTTTTTTTTTTTTTAAGAATAGACCTTACAAATTGCTGGGTTTTATTTTTTAAGATTTGCTGGTAATTGTTAGTTAAAAGTGCAAGTCGACATGCATTTGTTCTGGTCCACCAAGATGATAAGCAGCTACCAAAGCAGAATTAGTAACACAGTATCTGGTATTGTGACACAGTAGGTTAAACCACATTGGTATTCAACAGGTGAATGCCCATCTGAGTCCCATATGCTTCACTTTTACATTCAGCTCCCTGCTAACCCACCTCACAAGACAGTAGATGATGGGTTAATTTGTTCTTTGAATTTTTGTATTTACTTCTTATATTTTATGTTTTTCTCTCTTTAAAAGACTTTATTTATTTTTATTGGAAAGGCAGATATACAGAACAAAAGATCTTCTATCCACTGCTTCACTCCCCAAACGGCCAGAATAGCTGGAACTGAGCTGATCCAAGGCCAGGAGCTAGAAGCTTCTTCTGAGTCTCCCACATGGGTGTAGGTTCCCATGGCTTTGCGCCACCCTCTACTGCTTTCCCAGGCCACAAGCAGGAGCTGGATAGGAAGTGGAGCAGCTGGGACAGGAACCAGGGCTCATATGGGATGCTTGCACTTGTGAGAAGAGGATTAGCCAATTGAGTAATCATGTCGGCCCCTGAATTTTGTATTTCTTCAAAATTAGTCATTTTTTCAAATATTTTAGAGTGATTTCATTATTTCCTTTTGTTAAAAATGTTTTGAAATGATTTTCAATATCTTAAAATAAACATGTTTTTCTCTAATTTGGGTATACTCAATATTTCATATTTATTTTCTTCTTTGGTTGTTCTCTCATGTCTTTCATTATTTCTTTGGTAGAATACTTAATGCTGTTGAAGAATGACTTTTTTTATGATTCTATGAGATCTAGATGAAGATGTCCTCTTGTTCCAAAACAGGACTATGGTGACCACAACTTGTCAGGGACTTTTTCTTCCCTGTTCACTTGCCACTCTTACATGTTGCCATGACAACATTGCTCACTGTCTCCTGAGGGGGTGTATATCTGTAGCTGGGCTCATGAGAGAAACAGAGGAATTATTTCTGATTTATTTTTTTTATCAGTCAATGCAACTCTCTGGCACACAGTTTAATGTGGGAAAGGTCCCATAGTAAAGTGACATCCATGAGTGGACTCTGGATCTTAACTAATATCTGTTTAACTCCAGAGACCCTCGTTTACCAGGTGCAGCATACGCCTTCGAGGCAGAAGAAACTCCAATGTCCCAATTATTTCTCTGGGTTCTCATTTGCCTTAGGTTTTGGTTTAGTAGTCCCTTTACATTTTTTTAGATAGCTTATTCTCCCAGAAATAGATTTTAGTAGAAAAAAACGATTTCAGTGTTTTAATTGCTTACATAAAGAATTTGCTTGAATCTAGTTTTGCATTGATCAGAAGCATTTATCTTCATTCCATATTCTTATCAAAAGTATCTTTACCCTGGAAATTAACTAATGGCAGTGATGGAAACAGATCCTTGAATACAAAAGTATAAGAGAATGTAGTGAAACACCCACCCTGTGTTGTAAAGCATTAGGAGAATAACTTTTACCTGCGGCATGAGACATTTAGTTCTTTTTCCTCAATTCAGCTTTGCATCATCTCAGCTCTGAGAACACTGAGTCACCTCGGTGTAATTGTTTAATCCACCAACACCATGCTTAGCATGAGTGTACTTCAAAGGCTTCGTGGAAAGTGGAAAGAAAAGCTGATGTGTACTTTCCCTGGTCCTTTGCAAGACGGCTGTAGACTTCATAACCCCAAAGCTTATGAAACCAACCAAAAGGTGGCCTTGGTACAGCACCTAACATGGAGAACTTACATTAAAGCTCTGAAACAAAAATTCTAGCCTGAAAGCATACATATATTATCAAATAGAAATAAATGGAAAACTAAGGTGATTCACAGATGTAAAATTCAAATATAACACTAGAAATCTGACAAAGCTGAAGTGTTGGCTGATGAACATATTGCTAATGTGACGTATTGACCGTGATTCTCTATGTTGATCCATTGTAATTTGGAAACGCATTTAATTATGTTTCAGCCTAAATTCTTTTCATAGAAATCCTTTATACACTAGGCCATAATGTTGTATTAGCATCTTAGAAATCTGCCACTGAGTTTCATGTGCTGCACTGATTTACTGTTATTTGGCCAATTATCTGATTAATCAGGAAATGTTTTCTAATGAACACTTTTTATCAGAAGGACCTTTTCTCTGCTTATACATTGATCAATGGAAAGCGTGGCTGATAGTCCAGTGAGGCGGGAATTTCCTGTCTGATTTATTATTTAAAACAAGGCTTGAAGTGCTGGGCATGGTCATGCAAGGACTCTTGGTGATTGTAGCTTATTGTATGTTTTTTAAGAATAGACTCAGATATTTTCTCCCGTGTGAATTATTTTGCTTTCCCCGTGTATTCTTTTATTTGTTTCCTCTTTTCCAGTGAAAAGCCATGATTAAGGTTAGAGTCTTTAAGCAGCAGCCAAGCCCTCCTCTCCCTCACGGTGTCAGATGCCATGGCAGAGGGTGCCGACCTAAGGAGCATGATGAATCTTTCCCAGCACTCTCACCACACTTTTATGAGGCTGCCTGAACTACTGCCCACTCAGTTACCCAGGTTACAGCCCACACTTTCCATATCCTTGTACTAATAGATGTTCATCAATGAAGTAAAATTCATTATTACTGAAAAAAGGCTTTTTCTCCTCCCTAAGAATATATTCTTGCACTGAACTTCCTGCATATTCATATGCAATATTCTTCTGCGTCCTCTGCATCCATTGGTTCTTCCTCATTCTCTGTGTTGTTGAACTCAACAGATTTCCATCAGTTAAACCAAAGCCACACATAAAAACAACAGGTCCCATTAGGAAGGGGAGTGGGGCATTTTGCATGAGTCAGTTTCATGTCTTTTTCAGTGTATACCAACTCAAAGCTTTTGCGCTCCAGAATGAGGGTATTTAAAAGTTTATTGATGTAACACCACGAGGTCTTACTGAGCGAAATTTCTTCTGGCTAAGAAAAAGTTATGATACTAAAGTGAAAAATATGTGATTTTCAGTATTTTAAAAATGTCAGTTACTCCAAGGGTCAGAAAAGGTATGTCCCTCAAAGAAGGAATGCAGAAGATTATCTGGAATTAGATTCTTTATGTCATGTCAAAGAAGGACAAGGCCATGTCAATTTAATGACTATGAGAAGCATGTTGAGAGACCATATTCTGTTTATGAGGACATCACATTTGCAAAATATTTTTGAGTCTTTCCATGTATTATGTGCACGACTAAGCCTTACTAATATACACCAAGCAAGCATGTGCTTCTATAGTACATGCAATAATCTGCTCAGGAGAAAGATGTTTGGGCTGATGTTGTATCTACACCCAAATGAACACTGTGTAAAGAAGTGAATTCCCAAAGACAGGATTGAATCTCTGGTTTTCTGGAGTCAAGCACAGCAGCTCACTGCCTGCATTGTCTTTCCTGTAGCTTTATATTCTGTAAGTACAGACACCTGCCTTCCCTAGCGGCCAGTGCCACACATGATGAACTCTTTCACCAGAGCAGCCTGACTCTTAAAGGCTGCTACACAAAAGCCATGATAACTCAGAAATGCTGCTGGGATGCAGGGAGAGGCGAGCTTGTTTTTGTTCCATTTGCTAAGGAAAGTACTTAGTGTGCTTAGTCACCAATGTGGAGGAGCAAACAGATTTCCATATGCATAAACCGGAAAAACCATGCGGTAGCTCCATGCTTACTGTCTGGATTCTAGATGCGTCTCAATGCCACTGAAGTGGGAGGTCCCACGTCTCCCCGAGCCTTGAAGTGGCTGAATCAGGTAACAGGCAAAGCAGCTACACCTCCACAAGGTCCCCGAAGAGCAACTGTCTTTGTTCAGAAAAGGACAGGCTGAGTCATTAAGGATCACTGGAAGGAAAAAAAAAACAAATCTAAAAAACCTCCAAACTTCCAAAGACATTTTTGGAAAACAAATCTCTAGCCTAGGTTTTGTTCTGTTTTTCTTTCTTTCTTTCTTTCTTTCTTAATGCCTTGAATGCGTTACAGGAACTTGAGTGCAAATTATGAAATATTCACATTCAGAGTACAAGAGGGCTTGCTGCTCATCTTCATTTGGGATAACGGGACTGCGAGATAGTGCAGTTTGTCTATATTGTCTAGCCTGATTGAGGCATGACCTTGTTACCCAAATCTAGCTATAACTGCGCTCTTTTAATTCCTCCAGCCTGGAGTTCCCTGACTGCACCACAGAAAAGCAAATCCAGCTGCTTTTTCCTCAACTTTGGCAGAGCTTTGCCGATTTGTTTGCTCACCCTAGAAGACTTCTTGGATACCAATGATTAAATATGATGGGATAATTTCTTTGTCTCTTCTGTCAAAAAAAGAAAAAAGAAAAGAAAAGAAGGAAGCATTAACAGAAAAAGTATTTTTAAAATTGCATCTGATGTGGCCAGTTCCTAGTGCTGCAGAGCATGACGAATCCACATACAACTTGGAAGAATATGACCAATTGACATGTATTCATGGATGTCTTTGTCCTTGAAGTTCTACTTCCTATTTGTTATCTAGACTGATATGATGATAATGATGATGATGATATAGCTGTCTCTAGTCTGCAGGTAGGTCAATGAAAGTACAAAGACATATGGAGTAAGTTGTCTAAGAATTAGCAAGTGCCAGCATTGGGAATGAAAACCAGCACACGGGGACTCTGCAAAATCTCAGACGAATGCAGGAGATTGGGATGTTGAACCTCTCAGAGGCCCCAGACATGCTCCGCTGAACGCAATGTGAGAGCATTGACCCCAGCCATCATTGTCATCCGACCTCACTGAATTCACACTCAAGGCTCGCTGGGCTTTCCCTTAGGGTCAAATAGCTCAGTCTCATTAAAATGAAAGCTCAGGAAAATGCCTCAAGTCCCCAAATATTGAATGTCTGTTTCAGCTCAGGAAAAGTAGCCGATGACTGATACCTACACAGGTGGGCATTCTTCAGGCTTCAGTGAAGGGCAAGGACAGAAGAGGGATGGGGATGACTGTCTCACAGCTTCGGCTCACAGAGTCCTGGAGAGATGATGTGAAAACATGCGCAGTTCAGTGCTGGTGCACCTCAAGTGCTTCATCATTGGTGAATGTGCTCCCGAGTGCGGCATGGCTTTGTTCTAGGAAGGAGAGGAGCTCCGAGGGCTTCAGGCTGCAGGCATTGTCCAAATCAACAGATCATCAGTCTTCTTTATTCAGCTCCTTAGCAGTGTGGAAGAGAGGCCTTGACCCCTAATTCCGGATCATCTCACTTCCCCTTGTAAACTACTTTCATGTCATCAAGGCAACATATCCATACATTCTCATTTTATTCCACTTTCTTTGGTCCAACCTTTCTGACCTCTTCTGTTTAGTTTTCTCTAAAGCATGAACACTGTTTCAATGACTAATCCACCAACCCAAGAAAGTGGAAAGTTGACTGACACACTTCAAGAAAGGGCAGTTTTTCTTCATAATCTTTTTTAATCAATTTGGGAGACAATTAGTTCCAAGGATGTAACTGAGAAGGAAAGTTGTCAAGCAGATGCGTATGTTCAGGATTCAAAGACACAGCATGTGAGAAAATTAGCACAATTCCTGGCCCAGAGAACAGATTGAACAAATGTTGGTCTCCTTCCTCCACAGCTATTTCATAGAGCTTATGCAAACATGAAAAGAGATAATGTGATTTTTAAATATTCTAAATTTAACATATGAATATACATGATTATGATAATACAATAATATAATGACTTAAATTACCTGTGGGGTTTCATCGTTGTAGTCACCTACCAACACTCGCAGACCTTACCTCCTCCATCTTTTAGGCTCCTTTTTCAATCTTTTCCAGTCTTCCTTTGTGAGAATTATTTGTGGTCTCAGTGGGTTGAAGTCATCAGTCATGTTTATAAGAACTTGGTCTTCTAGTTCTTAGGCTTGTCATTTTGTCTTCCACCCTTCCTCAACCATTTGTTTCAAAATCCCAATTGCAGGCATCCTGCCCTCTGACAGAATTTCCTCTTTTTCTAGCTTGCTCCCTTAAGTAACCCTAGTTCAGAAGTCTATTGACTCACTAGGATCCAATATCCCTCACCTCTCATGCCCTCATTTAACCTACTATTTGAAAGAGGAAGAGAAACAGAAAGGTGCATGAACTTGGGCATGAACTTTCTGTGCAGTAATCCTTGGTCAATGTAGGGAACTTAGGCTTCTCTGTGTGCTATGCAAGAACATTGGATAGACTCAAGTGAGGCAGATAAATTTAGAAGCTTGGCGAAGAAATTATTTCTTTTGTGGACAAAAAGGAGCATTGAGGAACAGTAAGAGGTGATGTTAGGAATCCAGATGAGAAATGATGGCACTTGGGCAGGGGCAATGAGCAATGGAATGGAGAAAATGAGACAACGTCGTTAGCTATTTTAGAGGTAGAAATGGGAGCACTTTGTGAGTTTGTGTGAAGGGTGGATGGGAGAGAGGAAAGATGCAGGGTTTTTGTGAAGCTTGTAAGACATGTACATAATGGTATCAGTCAGCAGTTAGATTTATGTGACTGGAACTAAAAGGAGAAACTTTAATCTTAAAAAATACCAAGTTGTTCATTATCAGAATGTGGAAGGAACTTAAAGCCACAAAAAAGAGATACATGCTTTAGAAAGAGAGTTATAGAAAGAAGAGCTCTAGGGCTAAGACAAAAGATTGATGAACATCGTGCATAAACTTTAAATGTAGGAAGAGAAACGAACAATGTACGATGGAAAGGACATCTGGTAAAGACACACTGCAGAACTGGCTGAGTTACAACAGGTTATGGTGTTTAGGTTTCTGGTGGTGAAGAGCAGACAGACCTTTTCTTACCCAAGCCTTCACCTTCTTCTCGGACTGTTTTCCCACAGTCTTTCACATCCTGTGTTTTTGATTCCATATTCAGCTAAGAGACACATTTCAGTTTCTCATCTGGGAAAAGGAAGGCTGAGTTGGTGGAGCACAGGGGTGAGGAGCAGCAATTTAAAAAATTGTTCAGACTGCTAGAACAGATTATCCATGTTCTCCTTTGATTTTCTGTATTCTACCTTCCCAATTTTACTCTCAGAAGACCATGAAGTCTTTACAATTCAATTTTAATATTGATAGTAATTAGTTGACTGTTATTAACACAATAATTGTGTGAAAATATTTTCTGGTAACGTAGGGAATTTTTACACAAATTGGAGGAAAGCTAGCAGCTTCTAGAAACCGTTGATTCCAAAATAATGTGTCTGCCTCAGTAACACATCAAACTCAGTGTAAAGATGTGCCCCCGAGGATCTCAATAAGCCAGCATTCCCTATTCTTCTGCTTGTACTTTCCTAGAGCAACCGTTTACTAAATAATGAAAGACTAGAAACTTCTCTGGATAGTGTTGGAGCTGAGAACAAACAAACAAACAAACAAACAAAAAAAAACAAAAAAAAAAAGGAGTAAGAATAGGAAAGTGAAGAATTGGTAGGTTGCACTTGGTGGGAATTGCCTATTCACTACTGTTTTTAGCTTATAGTCTAGATTGGTTGCGCAAATTCAGCACAATACAATAGTCAAATACAAAGGGATTGAGTCAGCTTTCAGAGAAACCTGATTAGTCTTTCTGTTACTGTTTATTTTGTACAAATCTTTTTTTTTTTTTCTGCTTAGGCCTTGTGAAGTCCCCAAAAATTTCCACAAGGCATTCACCCCATTGGGTAGTTCCTTTGCACACTGTGTCAAGTCTATCCTATGTGACTGTTAGAATGTATCAGAAGTGTTTGTGTGTTACTTCCTAAGTTAAGCCACAAAAACATTGGGCTTCTTCCTTGCCCTCTTCATTTTTTCTTTTTCACATTTTTTCTCTATATCTGGGGTAAGGAGGGAAATAAAGGGAGAAGCCCCACCCAACCTCCCACCCATCCCAGGGTCCCCAAGTGGGGCGTGATCCCAGGGCACTGCTCAAGTGGTCTTGATAATTCAGCAGTTCTGAATTGCTGCTCATCTCGCCACTTCAAGCACAGTGAAATCTCTCCAGAACCCACTAGCTGACATAGTCCAAATTAATGTCTCCATTTGCCCAGATTTTCACTGCCAACACATGGCTGGGGCAGATGATCGAGTTGTTCTGTCCTCCATCCTCTGTTGTGGTACCAGGTGTCCTCTTTAAATTCTGATGGACTGCCATATCCTCCAAGTGCACCTGGATATGCTGTCCACTGCTTCGTCTGAGCCTTTGAGGAGGCCCAGCTTTGATACTTACATTCCATGGTCAGTCCATGGAACCTGCACTTCTGTGCATGGTTGGGTTTCTGAAATCAGCAGTACAGTTGGAGGGATCCCCAAAGAAACTTTTTCTGAGATGACCCCAGACATAATTCTTGTGTGTGCATGCCAGTACAGAGTCTGGCACAGTCTGTAGCCTCAATCAGCTTATGCATATGCTGGTGGTATAATTGTCTCAGGTGTTCTCAGACCAGATTCTTATATATACTAGCAAGCTCAGGACCTGGCACAATCCATCTCCCCGATCAGCTGGTGGTTGCAATCACTGGGGTGGTTCTGTTTCCAGCCCTGTCTTCCACATGAACCAATGGGTGTTGCAGTCCAGCCTGGTTCTGCCCACCACACACTTGACCCTCACAAAAACCAGTGGGAGCTACAGCCTAGTCGGAGCGACCTGTGATAACCCCCACCAGGTCCACCTCCTGCCCTGGTTTCTTGCTGTCTTCTGAAGGGTTAACTCTAGTGGCAACTAGGAACATATTGGGAAGGCTCCCAAAAGGTCTATGAAGGAATCCATGTGGGATCACCATCTTCATTATAATATGGAAAAACACTGTTGGATAAGCTATTTATAGATTCTCATACTTCTTATTTTACTCAAAGGTAAAGTTGTTTCAAGGTAAAAGTTTATTTATTTGTATCCTATTTGAAGGGGAGGGAGTGATAGCGATCCATTGGCTGGCTCACTCCTGAAGTTCTGCTAACAGCGAAGACTGGGCCAGACCAATACTTGGAGTCAGGAACTCAAACTGGATCTCCCATTTGGTGACCTTAACTGTTGTATCAAGCACCCACTTCTAAAACAATTTTGAATGTAAAGTATCATTAAATGCATTCACATTGTTATTCAACCATCACAAAGCACCCATTCCCAGAACATTCTCATCATCAAAATGAGACTCTTTACCATTGAAATCCTGTCTTCTTGTTCCTGATAACCACCACTTTCTGTAAATTTGACTATTCTGGGAATCTTGTGCAAGTGGACTTACAGAATATTGTTTTCTTTAAAAATACGTATTTTCTTCTGTTTTAATGCTCCCTTTTTATTG